CTGTTAATTGATAAAGCCAAATGATTGGTAAGAAAGATTTTTATTAGGGCCCAGCTTCAGGAATATAGGCAGCTAATTAGGCTACTCTCACCCTAGCTCCAGAAAACTGGGGTAGATATAAAGTACTCCCAGCATTTGATAAAAACATAACACTTCAAAAAGGGGCTGGGAAGGTGGGTTAGTGGTAGCGTGATTGCCTAGCATGCATGAAGCCCTGGGTTCAATTCCTCAGTACCACCTAAACAGAAAAAGCCAGAAATGGCACTGTGGCTCAAGTAGTAGACTGCCACCCTTGAGCAAAAGCAGCTCAGAGACAATGTCCAAGTCCTGATTTCAAGCCCCAGGACTGGCAAAAATAAACTTAAAAAGGTCCTATGTAAAAGGAAACATGGATTGAGGGGGTGGACAAAATGATAGAGCTCCTATCCAAAAAGAACAAGGTCCTACATCCAAACCCACCTCAAAGAACATGTACTACAAATAGACAAGCCTAGAAAAGGAAATAAACATTGCCTCTACTGTAGTAAGAAAAATGCAAATCCAAATTATTTTGAGATAACATGTCTCACTTTTAGACTGGCAAAGATCCACTAATCTGCTAAGCCAACATATTCATTTTCTAATTACTTCTATAACAAATTACCACAAACTTTGCAGCTTCTGCAATACAAATGTATTTTCGTACAATTTTGTATTAGTTAGGATTACAGACATGAGCCACCATGCCTCGCCTGGTAGCATTTGTTTAACATGAAAAGTATCTTTTATATCTTGCTTCTAGTGCCCAGAAACTACTGCCTCCGATGGATGTCATACAGGGCTCAAAACAGCCAGTACTCTTTGAGCACCTACTGTACAGTAGCACCATGGGGTCCAGGTAAATGCTACAGGCCTGTGGAGGAGAAGACAGACAGACAGCCCACCAGAGATGAGGGATGCAGCAAACCACCAATGAAGACATGTCTACAACTCTTACATATCATGTCAATGAATAATTAGATGATGCATTTAAAAAGTGCAAGGTGGCATGAAATCAGTCCCACTGTAGAAATTAAGCAGGAAATGAACAGTAAGTCAGTTTTTTGAAATTCTATGTGGTGTCGGGGCTGAATCTTTAAAGATCTACAGAACTTGAGTCAGCACAGAGGGAAGGCAGGGGGCTCCCATTTGAGAGAAGGCTGTAAACAAAGGCAGAGACATGAGAAACCCCTAGCACTTAGCATTCATTCAACAACTCAGAGCCATCCATTGTAACTGTCACAGAAGCCATCCACCCTCCGGACTGAAGAGACGGAGCTTGTTTTAAAATGCAGATTATCTGCCATGATTGCCAATTCAGTAAGTATGGGATAGGAATAAACTGAATTTTACAAGCACTAAAAATGAATCTGGGGAAAGAGGTCCAAGATTCATATGAGAAAACCTATATTGGGGCACAAGCTGCTCAAAGTGAAACAATGAGAAGATAGCTGGACATGGTAGCACATGCTGTAATCTCAGCTACTCAGGAAGTAAAAGGGGGAGGATCATGGTCTAAAGCCTTCCCAATCAAAACACAAGACTCTATTTGGAAAAAAATAGGAAATGTAGCCCAAGTGGTAGAGAACCAAGCATTAAGTCTTAAGAAGAAGAAGAAGAAGAAGCCGCCAGGTCCCAGAGAGCCTTGACTGCCATTCTAAGGAGGTTGGTCTTTAATTCTATCAGCAATGGAATGTCACATCTGGATTTTAAGATGATTATATTCTACTTGAAAGAATTAAATTGTTCCAGCTTCTTTGAAAAGCTGAGTGTTAAAAGGAATCCACAGCTTGGGAGAAATTATAAATATAAGTAGCTCACTTAGTAGTTCTATATTTTATTTGAGTATGAGGGTATTAGATGACAGAGTAAGCAAGAATGAGTTCACATAGTCCTAGGCACCCTCCCTCCCCTGCTTGGAGAAGGACATAAACCACTAATGGCTATGGGGTCACTGGGATCATGCTCCTTTAAATGACACAAGTACAAGAAACATAAATTAAAACAAAATTTGCCTTTTGGGTTTTTACCAAACAACATAGAAACCACAAGAGCTGTTTTCTGTTAGTGAGAGAAGTCAACGCACCAAGTTTTCAAATGTGTGCTTCAGAACATTCTAGAAGTTCCTTTAAATTGCAGGAACCCTCCTAGAGGAGTGGTCTCCAACATAATGATGTGCTGAATGATTTTCCTTAAATTTTGCTCTAGAAAAATACATGACTATGTGCTAGAGGTATAACAATACCAAACTTCAAACTCTACAGAGCCTATAGCAATGAAAACAGCTTGGCACTGGCATAATAGCAGGCCTAAGGACCAAAGGAACAGAATAGAAGACCCAGAAATAAACACACAGACCTATAGCCATCTACTATTTGATAAAGGAACAAAAACATAGGCTGGAAGACAGCCTCTTCAACAAGTAGTGCTGGGGAAACCTGGATATCCACATGCAGAAAACTAAAACTGTACACTTATCTATCACCTTGGACCAGCATCAATTCAAAATAGATCAAACACCTCAATGTAAGTGCTGAAACCATGAAACTATTACAGAAAGAAGTTGGAGAAACATTAGGACTACTTAGGACAGGAATGAACTTTCTGAGTAAAGATCCAAAACACAGCAAATCAAAGAAATGCTTGATAATGGGACTGCATCAAACTAAAATGTTTCTACGGAGGAATAGTAAACAAACTAAAAAGTCAGCCAACGGAATGGAAGAAGATTTTTGTATACATTAGAAAATGGCCTGATATCCAGAATACACAGAGAACTTAAAAAATTAAACCTTCAAAGAAACCAACAAGCCTGACTAATAAATCAGCTAATGAGCTCAAGAGAGTTTTCTCAGAAGTAAAAATTGCCAATAGACACATGAAGAAATGGCTCAATATCTCCAGCTATAAAGGAAATGCAAAGCAAAAAACATTGAGATTCCATCTCACCCCAGTTAGAATGGCCATTATCAAGAAAACTAACAATAACAAATGCTGGCAAGGATGAGGCCAAAAGGGAACTCTGTTTCATTATTGGTAGGAATGTAAATTTGTTCAACCACTCAGAAAAGCAGTATGGAGGCTCCTCAAAAAATTGAACACAGATTATAGGGCAGCCTATAATTCAGCAATTCTACACCTGGGCATTTATCCAAAAGATTACAAATCAGGATACAGTACAACTATTTTCATTGTAGCATTATTCACCATAGTGAAGGTATGGAATCACCCCAAATGCCTCTCAATGGACAAATGGATCAAGAAATGTATATATATACACACTATATATACACAATGAAATTTTACTCATCCATCAGAAAGAATAATATTGTACCATTTGTAAATAAATGGAAACACCTGGAGAAAAATTGTGTTAAGTGAAATTTATCAGGGACAGAGAGACAAAGGATGCATGTTTTCCCTTATATGTGGAAGCTAAATTCAGCTTATAAAGTTATAAGTAAATACACTGGGTGGTATGCAAGTGTATACTGAAATACAGTAGATTCTAGGGAGAACTCAAATAGTGTAATTCCTTAGAAAATCAAAGTCAGAGTTCAACAAAATAAACACTAGGAAGTAGGTACTTGAAAGTTTGATGCTAAGTGCAAGGAATGGGAAAGAGGTGAACGGGGGTAAAGGGGGAAGGGGTAGATGAGTGAAGAAGAAAAGAGGGTGAATGCAGCTGAGAATTTAACAGAAAGCCTACAAAATTAAGAAGAGTGGGGTAAAGGGTGGGGAGGGATGGGTGAGAATGTTGAAGGGGTGACATTGTATTCATAAACTGCCTTGTTAAATGACAGCTCCTTGGTACAACTACATAGATATTTATTTTAAGAAATGAAGAACTTACTGGAAAAAATTCACGACTATGCATCAAAAGGTTCCTTTTTATTATTGCCAGTCATGGGGCTTGAACTCAGGGCCTGCACACTGTCCCTGAGCTCTTTTGCTCAAGGCCAGCACCCTACCACTTGAGCCATAGCACCACTTCCAGTTTTCTGGTGGAAAATTGGAGATAAGAGTCTTGTGCCTTTCCTATCTGGGCTAGCTTCGAACTGCGATCCTCAGATCTCAGCCTCTTGAGTAATTAGGATTATAGGCATGAGACACTGGTGCCCAGTTCAAAAGATTCTTTTTTAAAAATATTTTTAAAACAATATAGCCATAAGTTTTTATTTGGAACAAAACAAATTACAAAGTTTTTAAAGCTGATACCTCACGTCACAAAATCTAGAAACACACAAACACACAGATAGATAGATCGATTGATCTCTTCTTGGAACACTCCTAACTTTCTTCTCTTTCAACAGGCTCTTTTTAATAAATAAGAATGTTTGTTTAGAAGATAACTACTTCAAAATATCCTGAATTCCTCTGAGGTGATCTCTGGGCAAAGCGTCACTGAAAGTTCTGATGTACTACAATGTTTAGAAATCTTTCCTATAGATCACATATTTGTTTCATCGGATTTTATTTAAATGACATTAAGTTTGATTCCTATCCCTGCCATGAAATCATCTTCCTATAGGATTTTATCAACACTGAAAAGATGGCCAACTTTTTAAAAATCAAGAACCCATAATCAAATATTACAAGCCTAATACCTACTGAGAAATTATAAGGATTTTTCTTTCATACAAGCTATAGTTTCTGAAAGTTTGATGCTAAGTGCAAGGAATGGGAAAATGCCACCACAGAGGCAAATAATGGATGACTTGTTTTCAGAGTAGATATTTAAGAGAAATGGCTCTCATGGAAGCTCATTGTTACTGAATAAAAATCTTCATGGAGAGGGAAAAAGTACCTGCATATATAATCTACATTGGAGATGCAAATTGGAGAGAAACATACACCAGAGGATTTGCATTTAATCAAATCTAAAGCGAGTCATTTCAAAAGCATCCCTACCATATCCAGAAGGCTTTCCCAGGCTGAGCTCCAAGGATACAGCAAGCACCTCCCTAAGGGCCTCATCCAGGATGGAAAGTGGTAAGTCGATGGCGATTGTGACTTAAAAAAATTTCAGTAATTCTAATTTTTATTTTTGGTATAATTATAATATAAAGTAAAAAAGAAATAGTAACTTCGGCTAGATCCATTATTTGTTTGTTTGTTTATAAAAACAGAGCAGACATCAGCTATGCAACACTCAGAGCAACATTTTTATAATTCTAGTTGTGCTTAATAATTGTTAGATTGAATTTTCTCCCATTGAGTTTAGGTAGGCATATATTCTCAAAGATCAACTTTATTGAACAGTCTTTTTCAAAAAATGATTATCTATTAATACATTCTTTGAGTTGTAAAACAAATGTTTAAAAAATATGTTACATGTGACAACTCCTGCTAAGTCCTGCGTTTAGCAGGAGTTATAGTTCTGCATTTTTACAGAACTTCATTGGAACTTTTCTCATTCAGGTATATGACTTTAGGGTTTTAAGGTTATAAATCAAGGACATTCCACTAGCAACAGAGTAAGAAAAATACTGAGGTGTTAGTTCATGAATTCAGAATATGTCTTAATCAGTTTCGTTTACCCTAAAGAGCTAAGTGCCAAAGGCAAGACAGAGTAAAATCTCACCTGTTTAGAAACAAATTTGAAATATAAACAGTAGCTTTTTCAATGTTAATAAGGGATGACTAAAGAAATAGTTCAAAAACAATGCCTTATAAAGTACCATTAAAGAAAATTTGGTATTAAAAAAATCTCTTCCAAGTCTAATCTCAAGAGATGAAAGATAATTGAAGGTATAAGAGCATCTGTCTTTGCAAAATGGACTTGGTTATAGGCAGGTACATTGTTTTGGTGACCCAGCTCTGTTGCTTAACAGGTGGGAAGGGAGGGGAGGTGGAAAAGAAATTGTGGACAAATCAAACCTTAATAAACAGCCTAAAATGTGGCTAAAATTGACATTACAGCTTTAGTGTTTAGTCTTTATTTCAAGTTTAATATTTCAGAGGTGATATATATATATATATATATATATATATATATATATATATATATATATATATATATTTCTGCCTAGTAATTTGAACATTTCAAGGTGAAGTTGATGAACTTGGGTACTCCCTGTTGCCTTTCCTTATGGCCCAGAAGTTCCCCACAACAAAGCTAATATGTCAGTTCCCCAGATCTGAAGTAGAGCTATCAATGCTGAGCTTCTATTGGGTATGGAGCTGGTAGCATCAGTTCCTGGATTCTATGTGCCTTTCCCTGGGTGAGGGGCTCAGACCCACAAAAAGGCAGGATCTTCATCGAGTGCATCAGGATTGTGCAGTGGGAAGAGGGGTTCCACAAGACCAGGGCTAGCCACTCAGTCGGCTGATGACCCTGCCTGGGCCACCACTGTTCTGGAACTTCCTTCTTGGAGCTTTTGTGACAGGCAGAGAATGGAACAAATGAGCAGGCTCTTCATTAATAACCCATTGTTCACAATTTCATTCTGTTCTATCATGACCTGCTGATGATGACCCGAATTCAGAGAGATGTCATCTGGTATCTTCAATGTCCCATTGTCCAGTAGAAAACTCAAACTAGGGATTTTTTTTTCTTTGCTCAAGTTAAGGGATAGTTTTGGTTTTGTCCTTTGTTGGTTTCACACAATCTCATTATTCCTTTGCCTTATGTCACAAAAGTACCTGCTTAGAGACTCTAAAATTTTTTAAAGAAAATACATCCCACAAAATGTTATCAAAAAACAGAAAAGAAAAAAAAAGGACTGTGTTTCAAGCTGAATGCCAGTGGTTCACTGCTCTGCAGGAGGCTGAGACGTGAGGATGGTAGTTCAAAGCCAGCCCAGGCAGGAAAACAAAACAAAACAAAACCAAAAATAGCAAAACAGAATTGGAGCTGTAGCTCAAAGAGGTAGACTGCTAGCCTTAAGTACAATAGCTCAGGGAAAGTGTCCAGGTCCTGAGTTCAAGCCCTAAGACCAGCACCGAAAAATAAAAATACAAAAAGAATGTGTTTCAAATACCACAAATATAATTAGCATTGGATAACTAAAAATGCTTTAGGAGTCACCTCTATCTTAAAATTAAATCAATTTCAGAGTAGAGGGAGGTGGATTTAATGTAACAAATGTTTGATTTTCAAAAACAGTATGATGGCGACAGTGCCGTAGTATTGACTATGGAGCAAAATATCCAACAGAGAGGAGAAAGGACCATGTGACTGGCACAATCCAGCAGTGCCTTTCCTCCCCCAAATTCAAGAGGACAAATGGATTCCTATTGAGAAATTTGCTTGTGCTTTCTCTCCGGAAACACTTCCCTTTGTTTTCTCAACAACTCATCTGAATGCAAGTTTGTATCTAGAGTATTTGAATAAAAACTCTTAAGCTCTCTGCTAGTATATTCAGGTGTGGAGTCTTTAAATAGACACTTTACAGGGGGGGAGGAGGAGAGAGGGAGGGAAGGAGGGAAGGAAAGGGAATCAGAACTATAATCAGTTCCCAAGGCTTAGTGCCTGAGTTTCTTTTAATTTATTTAATTATCTTTAACTGGTTATATGAAATGATTTCAATTCAGCACATCAGTGTATGCATCTTGATACTCTTGTTACCAAATTCTCTTTGAAGACCTTTATTCCCAGAGTTTTAATTACCATCCTTTGAAAGGTGTTTCTTAGAAACATAGTTCTAACCCTGGACTAAGTTTTCATCCTGGAAAAAGTATCCTAGAGTATTTTTATTTTTATTTGATTATGTCACTGTGGCCTCAAAGTCAACATATTCAAAGCTGAATTCTTCTTTCTCTATCAAAACCAACTCCTGGGCTGGGAAGGGCTTAGTGGTAGAGTGCTTGCTTTGCATGCATGGGGCCCTGGGTTTGATTCCCCAGTACCACATAAGCAGAAAAGGTTGAAGGTGGCGCTGTGGCTCAAGTGGTAGAGTGCTAGCCTTGAGCTGAAGAGCTGAGAGACAGTTCCCAAGCCCAGAGTTCAGACCCCATGACCGACCAAAAACAAAAACAAAAAACCAACTCCCTTCTCTGTCTTCTTAGTTTTTTTTTTCTTGGTATTCCGTAGTATGTGTATGTATGTGTGTATGCATGTGTGTGTGTGTGTGTGTGTGTGTGTGTGTGTGTGTGTGTGTGTGTGTGTGTGTGTGTGTGTGTGTGGTGTGTTCCTCTGAAAACTCTATTAAATATACCCTTTGTCATTTCACCTGTCTTGGCTTAGCATCTGTTTGGCAATTTCCCACTCTCTCTGCTTCTTCATCCCTGACCCATCTACATGATTTCATTGTGAAGAATGAGAGAAAAAATAATGAGGGGAAAGGTTAAAGAGGGGTTAATCTGATCAGAGTACATTATATGGGTGTGTGAAAATATCATAATGAAGCCCCTTTGGATAATTAATACACTAATAAAAAAGAGATATAAGAAGAAAGAAGCAACAGCAGAAACATTAAAAATACAAAGAAAGAGACAAAGAGTGAGTGAGGAAGGGCTAGAGAGCTTTGGATCCGAACAATTAAAGGATAAAGTGGTTATTCACCAAGATAGGGAAGACGCCATAAAACAACCATGACAGGGAAAATGAAGTTCTGATCTGGACACATTGCATTCGAAATGTGTAGACGTGCAAGGGCAGATGGACCCTCATCTCTAAAAGTCCAGGTCAGAACTGGAGGTCCATTTGAAATTCATCTATATAGCAATAGAATTAAATCTAGCAGCTTGATCTTAGCCAGTTTCTCGTTCCTGCCTTCCAGAGACTTTACTTTTGATTACACATGGCTGCTGTCCATGGTCTCTCTCCCTCCTCACCGATCCACATCTAAGTCCACCTGAAGGCCCATCCCCTCCCACAGAATTGTCCTCAGCCCTCCAACATGTCCTCTGCTCCTTCCCGTATCACACATGTAAATCTCCTATTTCTCTCACTAAAACAGAATCTCTGAGGACATTGGCTGCGTGTCACACTGCCTATGGCACGCAGCCCCATTCTTTAGCCCAAATCAGCACCAACTGGTAGATAAGATAGGTTGCTTTGTAAGAAAATTTCAAGGTCTGATCTGATTATTTCCCATCTTGTGAGCTCGATTCCTCTATGAGTAACCATGTGGTTATTTGTTAAAACTTATTTAGAAAAGGTGCATTTCCCCTTGGGTTTTTTGGCATACACATAAAGCAGAAGTAGCTACTTCAGATTGAGATCGTTAATTAAAAAGCCCTTCAGAGACAGGGAGAGACAAAGCTACCTGCATATACACAAAAGACCCAGCTCAGACCTCTTTGATTCCCAGCCCTCCTCCTCCACATCCTGTCCTGGTCTATGCCTTCTGTTCATCACCCAGATCTTTGTTCTGGGACAGGATGGCCAAAATTAGAGCTGTGCATGTGCGCGTACACGCGTGCGCACATACACACACACACACACACACACACACACACACCATCTCACACATGAAGGATTTTTTAAGGGCATTGCTCATATCTACAGTGATGGTTCTCAAACTTCAGAGAACAAGAGGGTTACCTCCAAGGCCAGGCATCACCCCCAGGATTTCTGACTCAGTACTCAGAACTGGGACTGGAGAATTTGCCTTCCTAACCAGTTCCAGCTACCGCTAAGATTGAAGGACAAAGATTCCACTCTAAAAATCACTGATGTCCATTCCCCATTTGATCTGGCTTTCTGGCTTGATGCCTGCCTTGTTCCAACCTTTAGTTTCAGTCTGTGTCCTACTCCAGGCTGTTTGATGAAGACTCCAATGCTTGTCTTAGTTATGGCTATCCTACCCCCACTCCCATCCAGATTTACTCCATTCTGAGACCGAGGACCAACATGTGTCCTTTGATGCTAACTTATTTCCTCTCCCCTTCCCTTGCCCTACTAATGCATCCTTAATTCTCTCCTACCCACTAATACTTAGTTATGAAAACATAGGCAAACTTCCTTTGCCATTGTAATTCTTCCCATTTATCACCCAATCTCTTGCTTCTTTCTTATATTTTCTACTTTTACTTTTATTTTTCATGCTCCTGAGGCTTGAACTCAAGGCCTTTGTGCTGTCCTGGAGCTCTTTTTGCCCAAGGCTAGCACTCTACCACTTGAAGCCATGGCATCACTTCTAGTTTTCTGGTGGTTAATTGGAGATAAGAGTCTTACAGACTCTCCTGCCCAGACTGGCTACAAACTGCAATCCTCAGATCTCCTGAATAGCTAGGATTGCAAGTATGAGTCACTGACACTGGCTTGCTTCCCTTTATTACTCAAACTTCTTCAAGAAGTAGTCTTCTCCCAGTTCCTTTCTTGATATTATTATCTGGCATCTGTCTATTAATCACTTTTGTGAGGGTCAGCACCTACTACTGAACTGGAACCAATGGATGCTCTTCTGTCTGCATCTTCCTGGATCATTCCATTGTACCGAATACTTTTCCTTTCGTTCTGGAAAGCTCTTCCCCTGAATTCTAGATAACATATTCCCACAATGCTTAGTGATTCTTCCCCTACCAATCTTCTCCTGTCTTCACCGTAAGGTTCTCTCTTCCTTCCCTAATACCTTTCAAATGCGAATGCATCTCATACTTCCAACCTTAATCACTAAATCCAGATCTTCTGAATTAGTGTGTCAGAACGGGGTGCTAGCGGCATTTGGACTCATAGGCCTATTTATTTCACATACCAGGCACCTACTATGTTTTCTTCAGGTGTAATCTCGTGTCTTAGTCTACACTCCCTCGAGGGATTATCTCCTCTTTTCCTGGTTTCCTTGTCTTCCGCACCGTGCACTGAAACTCAGGTATGAGAGCAATGGTGGAAATGTGAGAATCTCCCTAAGTCTTCCACATCTAAATAATCTGCATATGTATGATCCTTGCCTGCTCTGCTGCCACTACTCAGACCCCATGATCTCTTGTCTGAATTATTCCCGAATCCTCCTGAATGATCTCCCTGTGGCTTTGGGATTTCCAAATCCACCTTCCACACAGCTGCCTGAAGAGTCTATCTGAAATGCAAATGCTAATCTAATCTACTCCCTTGCTTAAGAGTCGCCAGTGGCTCAGGGACGACAGGATGAAGTCCAGGTTCCTGTGTACCAGATACATCATGGCGGGGTGCTTCTTGTTCTCCATCCTCCTTTCCTGTCTCTTCTTCCCTCATAGCTTCCTCTTCTTACACCAAGCCTTTATCTACGCTCTCCTCAACACCTGTCCATCTTGCCCACCTTTAGCCTCAGCTCAAGTATCACCTTTTTCCTCCTGACACCCTCCCTACCTTGACAAGGAAACCATGTGTTCTCCATTTCTCTAAATGTCCCGGGCATATTTCAGTGGTTGTACCTGGCTCATTTGCACTGTAATGATTTTTTAAATATTCCTTTGTAGTCCATGGACTCATAGAAAACAGTCGGTAATGAATTGATGAATGGATAATGCCTTCGGCTTTTCCATTTTTAAAAAATAAAAAGCTGAGATTCATTCCCAGTTCTAGAAGCAGCGCTGAAGATTCAAGTCATTATGCTTAAAGGATTGACATGTGTCAAGCCTCTTTAATTAAGAAGCACTGACCACTTCTTGTCATCATTAGACTAAAAGGACCATTTGAAAATAATTTTGTTTTCCTAGAATCAGGTAGTACATGGTTTTACTTAAGTAGACTTTTTTAGGATGTAGATATTTTTTCCTCTATCTTCATTTTAGACAAAAAGTGTTGTCTGTGAAAGTTGGTGGCTTCAATGCATTTTCATATGCATATGGGAATTTTTTCCTCATACATCTCTAATGATATCCAAGAAGAAATTATACCCATTTTACACATGAAGGAAATGGTACAGAATGTCTGTAGTTTTTCACAAGTCAGGAGCTAGTAGGCAGCATTGTATGCCTTGGAGTCAGACCAGCAACCTCTTTACCCAGTACATCACCCAACCTTTGCCTGAGGCCCTCATTTCTTCCTTTTTTCCTTCCTTCCTTCCATTTTTGTTATAGCACAATTTGATTTCCACATCAAATATATCCTAGCTGCCTATAAACTCAATCAGATTGTAGCATTATTTTGGTTCTATGCTTCAAATCCACATACATTTGCATATCCTGCCATTCACATGGATGCTAAATCCTGTCACTGGCTCCATCTGAGAGAAAGCCAGCAACACTTTAATTAAAATGGATTGACAGAAGCCATCCAATCAGAACAACAGTTTCGGAGTTTAAACGTAACTTAAAATGGACCTAGCTCAACCACTCATTCTACACTTGAATACTTTCCAAACAAAAGGTTCTTTAGTCAACTGTTTGACTATCCTCAGCAACAAGAAGCTCCCAACCCTAGAAGCATGCTCCCAGATTTAAGAAACTTGGAGACACTCTTTCCTCTGTATTTGCCTATGTCTCTGTAACTTCCACTTGGTTGAAACAGTAGTTTTGTCCTTGTTAGAATCACAAACTGACCTGAGTCTGAATCTTAGCTCTGTGGCTCATTGGTAGCTATGAGATCTTGACCAATTACCAAGCTCCAGAACTCAGTTTCCTCCTCTATAAAATAGATCAAAAGGGGCTGGGAAGGTGGCTCAGTGGTAGAGTGCTTGCCTCACATGCATGAGGCCCTGGGTTTGATCCTCAGCACCACATAAGTAGAAAAAGCCAGAAGTTGTACTGTGGCTCAAGTGGTAGAGTGCTAGCCTTGAGCTGAAGGGCTGAGGGACAGTGCCCAGGCCCAGAGTTCAGGCCTCACAACTGGCAAAAAAGAAAAGATCAAAAGTAGCTCATCTTTATTACTGGCCTAATTCTAAAGCGGTACAGTCCTCGTGTCCCATCATGGTATTTTTTAAAACAAAATACATTTTTGAGTCCAGTAAGCAGATAATGGAAAACAAAAAGACTTTCTTCCAAAAGCAAAATCTTCTAAATATCATCCAGTTGAATCATTTCCTTAAACCAGGTTCAAATCTACTGGGGCAGGAAGATGTCTGTCCATGACCTGAACTGTACAATCTAACCTCTTCCTCAAATGCCAAGATAAGTCATTTCAAACTGCATCCAATCCCGTTATCAGGTGATTACCTTACCAGTAAATCTTGCTGGAGGACTTCTTGACAAATCAGAGTAGACACAAGGGGATGGCCCTTGGAGTAGTCGTTGAGTAGGAGATGGATCAGAGTAGACACGAGGATGGTCCTTGGAGTAGTCATTGAATAGGAGATGGAAGTGCTTCTTCCACTTACATGGAACATGATGAGTTTCCATCGAGAATGAAGAACCAGAACTTAATTGGAACCACTTCAGATTCCATTTCTCTCATCTGAAGGAGAGAAAAGCAGCCCAGTTGTCAGCCCTTGACTACATCCCTCAGGAGGTTGACCTAATTACTCCCATCTGCTGCTGCTGCTTTCCTCCTCCTCCTCCTCCTCCTCCTCCCCCTCCTCCTCCTCCTCCTCCTCCTCCACCTCCACCTCCACCTCCACCTCCTCCTTCTCCACCACCTCCTCCTCCTTCTTCTTGCTGTTGGTGGTGGTATGGGACTTAAACTCAGGGCCTGAACACTGTCACTGAACATGTTTGCTCAAGACTAGTGCTCTACCACTTTGAGCCAAAGTGCCAGTTTTCCGGTGGTTACTTGGAAATAACAGTCTCACGGACTTTCCTGCCAGTGCTGACTTCAAACTGTGATCCTCAGATCTCAGCTTCCTGAATACTAGGATTCTAGGCATGACCACTTCTGATTATGACTCTTCATTTTCTTAAGTCCCAGGAGATTACAGCAAACGAGTGTACCAGGGCGTGAGGGTGAAGCACACTGTCAAAGATCTCCTGGCAGAGAAACGATCCAGGCAGACAAGTAACTCCAGGTACAATGTAAGTCCCAATGCAATCCATCTTAAAAGCATTATGGGTTCACATTTGCTCTTGAAGTTAGCTGTCTTCTCTCCTCCTTTCTCTATGGGCCGGTCTTGCACTTAACTGGGTCTGATCTCCAGACAAAAGCCTTCCTTTATCTGGCACATACTACAGAAATACTTTGATTTCTCATTCCTCCCCACAATCTTTTTCTGTGGCGCACACCCTACCGAAATCCTCCTGTCTCTCACCTAAGGGTGCCAATGTGTGTGCTTGAACATTACTCCTCATGCCTTCTTTACTCTATGTTATGCTGGTTTTCATGTCCTTTTTTGGAAAAGTGCTTATATAATCACCCAACTGCTATTGAGAATATGCTTTAGGAAACAGAATTTGTGTTCCCTTGTAACTATGCATGACATGAATCAATGCTAGCTTTCTTCTTGACTAAGATGCTTGGTGGACTGGACCAGATGTGAGCAGTTGGACTCAGAGAAGTCAACCCTTGGTGTTCCTTCTGACGGTTATTAACACTATGGCATGTTGGTTAGCTATCAGCTATATTCCAAGAGCTCTGTGGGCCTACTGGCTGGCTGTGTCAGCAAGTGGTGGTGTGAAGCTTATGTGCTTTGATTGAGTTAAACAAGATTCTGTATAAATAATGCTGACCTTTAGGCACCCTGGGTGCTAAAACCAACAGAGGTAACTTAGGGGAAAAATTATCTCTGCCATACACAAAATCAGATTTTAAAGAATCCCAGTAGATGTTTTGAGTCTCAACTCCCTGTTTGTCATCCATGTCTCTATAAATAGCTCTGATTTGTACTGAATGTTTAAGGAGTTGTAGCCAAGATCTCTAATGATTCAAGAATAGCAATAGTACATGGTTATGAAGATCAGTGAATGGCCATCGATGCTACCAAGTGAAATGAGAGCTGGTACCTGCAGCTACATACAGTATCAAGGGCCACACTGACAGAGCAGGGTAGTACAGCTTTCTCCAAGGATGGCTGAGAATGTTGGCATTGTATTCAGCATCGCTCCAGTAACAGACTGCTGGCATACGCATGGTTCAAGTGGATCGACTCCAAATTCTCCTGCTATCCAAGAACACCTGTTATTGCACATTTTCTGTTCTCCTGCCTTTCAAAGCCATCTCTACTCGTCTAGTTCAACAGCCAGAGCTGAGCCGATACAAAGACATCTGAATAGCTGGCTCCTGGTCTGCTCCGCAGTCAGCGTTTCTCCTGATGTTGGCTCAGAAGCATCTGCCGTGTATGTTACAAATGCCATTACAAGCACGGTGTCCTGAAAAGGAAAAAAGGAAAGAGAATGAAGCATGTACTCAAAAAAAAAAACCCACAGCTTCAGCAGGAGTTCACACAGATTGCTTGGTTAATTATGACTACAACTATCAATAAGAGAAAAAACTGAATTTTGGTTATAAAGCTCTGGGCAAATTGGTAAGATGAGAAGTCCAAAAGTAGAAGCTCTTGTATTTGAACAAGGACATAACTCATAGTACTTGTTGTCAATATCTAAATACAAATGATAAGGCTCTATGGATAGATTTTTTTCCCCTCATATACCTAATATGACTTCTTGCCCAAAATCTGTGACAATTCTTGGGTCTAGCCCACATCCACTGGTAAGAATTACTGGGTTTGGGGAGATGCGGGGGTCAAGGAATGGTCACCCCGTCACTTTTCACAGGCTCCTCGGGTGATTCCTACACGTGACCATTGGAAAACATTTCCCTCAGAGTAAACAGGGAGGTTCCACGACTCACACATCACAGCCAAGGTGCTTATCTCGACCCAGATAAGAAGTTGCTGAGCGATTGCTATTGGCCTGGTGACTCTGTTCCTGAGAAAACGGGTACAAGAAACATGGAGTTTAATGACCTGATCTGTGGTTAAACACCAAATAATCTGATGGGAAGCAAAAATAATTATACATTTGAAGACTTCAGGATGACAGGACTGAGCACAAGACTGAATGACAAAAACCAAAGGCCTGGCACTGTAGCTAATGAGATCTGAAACGTGCAGAGATATTTATGTAAGGATCATCCACACACATGCTCATGTGTTATTTCATTTCTTGGACCCACAAGCCTGACATGGACAGGCTCCCATTTTACAGAGGAGGAAGTTGAGAACGGGAAAAGGGGTGTGGTTCTTGCCAAGCTACACAGCATAGCAGATCTTCTGACCCCCTAATTCCATAGTTAAAAAGAAAGATCAGTGTGTGCCAGAGTTGAATCATCTGATACATGCAAATGACAGAGAGAGAGAGACAGAGAGAGAGACAGAGAGACAGAGAGAGAGAGAGAGAGAGAGAGAGAGAGAGATTCCATAGAGAAAAGAGTAGGACTAAAAAGAGACAAACCAGTTGGAGCCAGGGCAGTGACTCTGAGCATCACGTCCATAGGTGATACAAACTGATCCTTAATCCTTTCTTCCTATCATATCACCTAAAGGTTAGTGTCTTACCTCATTCTCACTTCAGTGACCTTTGAAATTTGAGTGAGAAATGCAACGCATCTCAACATAGAGGTTTTTGGATTGTAGGCCACTCTATGGATTTTACTATCTACTTGTTCATGATTCTGTCCCATCCCTTACACTGGAGCACTGGTTCGTCTCAGGAAGCTATTGCAATCAACTCAGACCTGTCTCTGTTCCTCTGACAAAGGCAAACCAATGAGCAGGAATCATAGTTCATCGCTTCACAGGGTTCTCATGGGGTTCTAAGATATCCTCTTCTCTTTCATACCAATGCACTAGAGACCATGAGCCTAACACCTCAGCTAAGTTCAAATGCAAAAACCATCCATGTGTGATATGCTCCGATGTTTCAGCTGACACAGGTCCAACTGTGCAGTTTTCATGCAAGCATATTATGCCGATCCAAAACCAAACTAAACCCCTCCCCCTGCCAAAAAAAAATCCCGTATCACATCGCAGGAACCCAGGAACATTGCCTTATGTGACAAAACCCATGATTAAGTTAAAGATCTTGAGAGGAGGTCCTTCCTTATTCTAGATTACTTGGTTGGGCACTCCATGGAATGGCATGCATCCTTAATAAAGGGAAGTTCTCAGAGAGAAACATATACACACAGAAAGAGCAGAGAAGACACAAAGAATAGGAAGGAGACCCAAACAACCATTTCAGTAGAGGCTGGGGTGATGAGGCTATGAGCCAAGGAATCTTGGCAGCCACCAATTGCTGAGAAAGGCAGAGAACAGATTCTCCCTAGCACCACCGGGTAAGCCTAGCCCAGTCTGATCCCTGATAGGCTGGAGTGGTGCCCCTCAGAAGTATGAAAGGATATAGTTGGATGGTTTGAAACCACCTTGTTCATGGTTGCTTGTGACAGCAGTTCTAGAAAACTCATCCACATGTGTGATGAGAACCTGGTCCACAGGGACAAGTGTGCTTCAGGAAGTAACAATCAGAGACACTGCACCCCCGTTCCGCTCTCTGGGACAACCCTGACCGGTATACACAGAACAAGTCGACTCATCTTCACCACAATTTCCCTCAGGAACATCTGGTTTTGATACCATGGAAGGATTTTCAAAGACTTTGCACAGGGAATTTTAAAACAAAACAAATAAAAATTTGGCATCACTAGAGATTTTTTTTGTCGAGCAATGAAAATTTAAACTGCTAGATATACTCTAGTGGTAATTCTATAGCTTTACCATCACTATTAGATATATCCTTTTTTTAAAATCATGGCTATTCTTTGTCCTTTTTCACTTGTTTCTGTTATTCTTTACTATATTCCTAGATCTGGCACATATATTCCAAGATCCAGAATAAATATGGAACACTAATATCTAGTAGCAAAAAATACATTATTAAATGTCTTATTATGGCAGGTTTTTATTTTAGTATTCAAATTGAGTTCCATAAAAGCTAATCACTGAATTTTTTTTAAATAGCATTACAAAATTCAATAATCTCTGTTACCTTATTGAAGAAAATAAAAGCCTAATAGCTACAATTCTTCAGTGTTATTTTGAATTGCAAACTATCTGTAGGCTATTTCACTTTAAAATCAAGTTTTTCTTAGGCAATCATGAAGATTCATTTAAAATTGTTATATATTTGACAGATGGCATGAGGGGAAAAATTTAAAACTTGCTGAGTAGGAAATGAAAATCAGTTTGAATTAAAATGGAGAATGGGAAGTGGCGCTGTGGCTCAAATGGTAGGGCGCTAGCCTTGAGCTGAAGAGCTGAGGGACAGTGCCCAGGCCCAGAGTTCAGGCCCCACAACCGGACCCAAAAAAAAGAAAAAAAGAAAAATAACTTAAAGCAAAGAATGGCCTGGAGGCATGGCTCAAATGGTAGAGTACTTACTTACCAAGCGCAAACTCTGGATTCAAACCGCAGTACTGCCAAAAAAAACCCAACTATTTTATTTTACTCTTGTTACAAAACTGTAACAATAGAACAACAGTAGCAAAATAACACAGTAACAATAGCAAAATAGAGGCCTAAGTTCCTTTTAATATTTTATATTAACACAAAGGAAAATAAGGAAGATTGTTGGTTCTGGCTTTGAAAACTAAGGGAAATGTGTGAGGAGAAATATTCCAAGTAGGAAATTATTTAAATGATATAACCTTGGCTTATACATATTATATAGACACATAGCAATGTTTATGTCCACAAAACCTGAATCATACCAACATCAAGTGTGTGTTTCTCCAATTATCCTGCTGTTTAGAGTCATTGTTTACATCTCATGTCAAGAACACACAGCACAAGACCATACTGTCAGCTGGAGTCCTTGGTTAATAATTTGTGCTCATTCTTTTTGGAGTGCAACCATTGCAAGTAGCGGGCAAGAAGCATGACAATTGTTGCTGTTTGAAGGGAACACTTGAAGGAACAGAAGGTAAATGGGAGTTGCTTGGTGTCTTTATGGCGTCTTTATTGACCGTGTTTGATCTTTGCTGAGAAAGGGGCAAATTCTAACTGCAGAGCAGATGTGCACTG